TGGGAAATCTCATTTCCATTTTCTATAAAACTTGCGTTAAAATTTTTATTATCAGAAGGTCTGTAGAAGAGGTTAATGCAAATGCTAGTAATAATACAAAAAGATTTTACCTTTTACGTAACTTGTAATCGTCTCCAAATTTCTTCAGAAGTGGTGGATATACCGAAAAAACATGACAAACGATGATGATCTAGTGTTTTCATGATCATAGCTTCCGATTTAATTATATCTAATGAATTCACACGATAAATGCTTATTTTATGAACTGTCACATCGATTTTCTTCTTTTCCATAGTGCTTGCGAAACAGGATTATAAGATCCTCTACTCAAGTTAGACTTAAACTCAATATCTTCAATGGTATAATTATTTCATCACCATGACTATTAGAATCGTCCTGCTTAGTGCAAGGATTTGTCAATTAATGCCCAATGTATCCAACGGATTATCTAAATAAATATTCATTCATTTATATGTTTGAATATTTTAAATTATAATTTGTTGAAGTGGAAAGACAATGCAGATGTCGTCGAAAACAATTGCGAGAGTTTACCTACTGATGAAGGAAAGCATATTTACCCTATGATTATACAAATAACGATAATAATAATAATAATAATAAATATTAAATAAATGAATCTTGTCTTTTTGAAAAAAAAACAAATCATTTTCTCTTCTGGTTTACTTCCGTTTCGTATTGTGAAGTGAAGGCATTTTTTTCACACCAAAACAAGCAAAATGCTTTTTGAATTGATCTAATTGGTATAAATAAAAATTTGGTATGGAACCTAAAAAAAATGACACAAAATTTGTACTCATTATTAAGATCTTTATAAAATATCTGATAATTTGATATGCATATATCTAATGATTATTTTTGACCGCCAAATGGCGTTTTTGCATTTTTGTTATTGAAAATTTGTAATCGCTGGACTTGCCTATCCGAAAATTCAAACAGTCGTTTCTTTAGTCAATATAAATAAAATGTTTCTTGAATTATTCAAATCGGACGCTTCGTTTTCTCAAAAACTGAATCACCATTTTTGGAGTTTTTGCCTCGTATCTTCGAAACGACTAGACCTGTCTGTGTCAAAATCTAATCAGCACGTCTCCTTATCGATATGAATCGAATGTTTTCTGAATTATTCAAATCAGTTGATCCGTATTCCAAAGGTATGCCGAAATGTTTATAAATTTTTGAAACGTAAGGATATAAAAAAAAATCAGTTTAGATATTTTTTTTTATTACTATAACTTACCCTTAGGAAAGTTAACAATTAATGTATAATATAAATTGTATATCAAAATATAACTAGGGGAAAGTCCCGAGTGCCGGACACCTAAGGTTATTTATAAATAAATCAAAAAATATTTACGAAATGTTTATTAAATTATAACTTATGTTAGATAACAAAGATAGAAATCAAACTAAATTAACAAAAACGCAACCTTTGACAACAAATAATTGATATTATTAATCAAACATTGGTAACACAAAATATGGTTTTAAAAAGTGGCACCTAGTACCGGGCATTTCAAAATAACCTGCATTGAACACATATGTATAGCCATCTTCACACTTTGGAATGTCTGCACATGCATGTTTGACGAATATTTTTTGATATTGTGAAAAAAATCACTATATATACACCCTTTTGGCTGGGGTACGCTGATGCTCTCAGCTGGAGCATTCATCATAAGATTTCCATTCTTTGACTAGGAAATACGAAAAATGGGGTTGTGTAGTGACCGTTAGCACTCATGCAAAACAAAATTAAATAATTAGAATAAATTACGTCAATTCTCATAAAAATATCAATATGTTTTGTCACGCGGCGCTCGGTGTGTGATCCTGTACCTGTGTGCACCCCGCGCCCCTTTCATTTGTATTTTGAAATGGAAAGATTTATATTTGCTTAAATAATACGTGTTAAATAGAGTGTCCGGCACTAGGTGCCGTCCGGCGTTACGGGAGTTCCCCCTACATCATGTGCTTTTGTACTTACTTTTGTAATTCCACACAAGCGCAGGCATACTGGGAAAACTATTGTTGAATTCAATATAGTAACGTCCACTTTTAGATACTTTGATTTCGAAATGCGCAACTTTATAGTCTTCATGTTCTCTATACTTAATATGCAATACATATAATAGGAATGATGGCTGTTTTGACTTTCTTATCAAAAACGTTCCTGTAGTTCCAGTATCATATAGTAATAAAGAAGTAGCTTTTTCGCGGGCAATATCCTTGAAAAACCACCTAAAAAGTAAGAAACATGATATATAAAAATATAGAAAAAGATATGGCATACATTATACAAAATTTTATTGTTTTTAGATATCTTGTGTGTGAATACAATTAACCTTTTTTCAGAGATAATTATGATGATAAATATGATAATAACTTTTTATAATAATACATACATACATACAATATAGTAAAATCAATATCGTTTATAAAATTGTATTAAATTAACTTAATATTCATATTATCGTTAAATTAGATACCAATCATATGATTAATTATGAATATCATAAAATAAAATTAGAACTAGTTGTGTATGGAATTGTGCCTTAAGGCAAATTGCAGGAACTTCCCGTACCATATCATACTGTACCATTCTCTTATATTTATAAAAATTATATAAAGTTAAAATTATTTATTTAATTGTTTAGAATTAAAATTAAATTTTTGATAAAAAAAATTAAAAAAAAAAAAATAAAAAAAATATTTGAAATTTTTTTTTCCAAAAACATTTATTTTGTCAAAAGAAACAGAAAGTTTTTTGAGCCATTCAAATACGCTGCTTAGTTCTCACAAAAACTGCCATTTTTTGCACGATTAGCTTGTTATCTTCAAAATCGTCAGACTTGTCTTTGCCAAAAACTAAACACCACTTCTCCCAATCATTACAAATTGAATGTTTTTTGGAGCATTCAAATCGGATGCTCAGTTCTCTCAAAACCTCCATTTCTATTTTTTATACTCTTTGCTCCGTATCTCCGAAACGGCTGGACCTGCCTTTGCCAAAGACTAATCAGCACATGTCCCTAACATAGGATTCTTTGAACCATTCGAATCGGTTGATCCGTGCGCCCGAAATCGTGAACGAAAAAACACATACAGACATCCATTTTTTTCTGAGGTATGCCAAAATGTTCAGAAACCTTCAAAACGTGAAGATATGCAAAAAAATTATTTTTGATTTTTGGCCCATTACTATAACTACCCTACGGGAAGTTAAAAACTAGGTGTAAGTGGCAAGTTAAATGAAGTTTCCGCTATGAGTGAATAATCGATTTAATCAATAAATATTTGATTTGTATTTGATCTATCTGTCTAACTGTCTACCTGTGTGTATGTCAACTTTTTACTTTAGTATCTGCCTGCATATCCGCTTGTCTACCGATTTACCTGTATTTATTTCTACCGCTCGACATGCCTACCAGTCGACCTGACAACATACATGTCTACTTGTCCACATGTCTGTTTATCTGCCTATTTTCCTGTCCATTCGTCTACTATACCTTCTTTAGTCTACCTACCTGTCCATTCGTCTCTATTTCGTCTGTGTATCAATATTTTTACATGTATGTAAATGAATATTAATGATTTGTAATGATTAACGATTGAAATTGTAAAAGAATTTCTAAAAGTTGATTGCGAATTAAAGAAAAAGATACCATGACTACAGAATACATATGATTATAGTTACTAACTCTTCATCCTCGAATCGACGTTCCTCCTCGACCAGCATTTTTGGTACCAAACCTTGTCGCATGGTTTTGAAGTGAAGGACTTCATAATAATCCTCAACATTTTGTAATACTTTCATTCGGTCTCCTACTTGGAACGATATTTCGTCGAATCTTTTAGCTTCATAAGCGTAGACTCCGAATACTAATAATAGTGGTGGTTCAGGATGTTCTGCGAAAATAATGAAGAGTAATTATAAAAGGTAAAATGACATGACATAAAGATTCAAAGCTTGTCAAACACAATTCAAAACTAGTGGGGCGCATGGCATCGTGCCTTAAGGCAAATTGCTGGAACTTTCCGTACCAAAATTTATTTTCTTTTAAAAAGATTAACATTTTTGAAAAAAATTACTTTGAAAAAATAGATTTTTGAGAAACTAACTTCTTTAAAAAAAAGACTTTTTGGAAAAAAATTAAAATCTGAACCTTTTTTCAGAGCAATCGCACTGCTTTAACTGCATAGAGACGAAATATCAAAGCGCGTAAGCGCTGCGTCGCCGTCTAACGGATAAACATTGGCACGGAACCCATAGAAATGTAAACAAAATTTATACTTATTGTTAAAATCTCTATAAAATATGTGATAATTTGATGTGCAAACGTCTAATGATCATTTTTGACCGTCAAATGGCATTTTTTTTTACTTTTCTTACTAGATCTCCTAAACGGCTAGACCTGCCTTCATAAAAATTTGATCAATTTTTCATCTTGTCCATATAAGTAAAATGTTTTTTGAATTATTAAAATCAGATGCTCCGTTCTCTTAAAAACTGAGCTACCGTTTTTAGCATTTTTTGCCCCGTATCTTCGTAATGTTCAGAAACCCCTGAAACGTAAAGATATATAAAAATATCCATTTTGTTTTTTTTGCGATTACTATAGCTTACCCGACAGGAAGTTAAAACAGGGTCGTCTATTTACACAAGGCCAAACGTGGCGATTTACACTACATCATTTTCAAAAAATAGCGTTTTTATAATCCTCTGTATAATTTCATAAATTTTTGAAGATTAATTCAGGAACTCTACTTCTCATAGTTCGAAACGGTAACTCAGGCCTTAAGGCAAATTGCTGAAACTTCCCGTACCAGAATTAAATACTCAAGGAAACAAATCTATGATCAATAAATATTTATCAATGATTAATAACAATTGTTTCGAATATTTCCAATTATTTTATCGCTCATATTATATAGCGACGATCTTATCGCGATCGTTTACATGAGGCATCTATCTGAGGAAATATTGCTTTCGATTAGAATAACGCATATGAAATATATATATTTTTCAAATAAATTTTAAACTTTAAATTTATAGTTAAAATATAAAACCTTGTATATGTTTGAAAATTTTGAAAAAAAAACTAGTTGGTATTGGTATTTTACCTTGAGGCAAGTTATATAAACTTTCATATATGTGTTAATAATCGACTTAATCAATAAAAAAGAAATTAATTTATGAGTGCTTAAAAGTAATTCCGAGTGGATTTATTACGCTTAATTGAAAACGAACGAACACGTTAACTCGGAGTATTTTCTAAAAGCAAATTTTCAAAAATCATCAATTTATAATTGAATCAGTTTCCGCAGAACTTTAATGGTTTAGTATGTTCATTAAGACGAAGTACTCTATCGTTATACCAAGTAAATCCTGTAATTTTAATATTAACAAATGTCAATAAAAACTACTTATTTTCTCAAACTTTAATAAATTTCTAAAATTATACTACTTGTCGTAAGGCCGTAATATTTCAGTAAGTTCTATAAGACCATGATATATATCGCTAAAAAAAATTCCATAAAAATCGGCTTAAATTTTGTTTCAACAGTTAATTACAAGAAAATGGTTTGGTCGATTTTTACCTAAAATTAATCAGTATCATTCCCAACTAACATCTTTCGAACAGTTTTTGATTTTTTAAAATCGATTCGGTAGTTTGAGCTTAAATGTGGACGAAAAGTTTAACACTTTTGTCCAAATTACAAAGGAACTGCTTGGCAGATCGTCTCACATAACTGACAAACGATAGTCCTCATTGATATACATCAAATGGCTTTTAAATTTCTGAAATCGTTTCAGGCGGTTTTGAGAAAACGTCGATCAAAGATCTAATTTTGACAAATGCCAAAAGAACGATACTAATTTTTGCAAACTTTGATGAATTTTTAAAGCTCCTGATCTACCGTCAAAAAAATAATAATAAAAATTGTCGAAATTCTTTTTGAAAACTTTATTACAAGAAAACTACCCGGCTGATCTTTACCAAAAACTAATCAGGTCGATTCCCAACCAATATCTTTCGAACAGTTTTTGAATTTTCAACATCGATTCAGAATTGCGGGCTAAAACGTGGACGAAAAAATTTTCTCAATTTTGCTATTTACAGAGAAACGGCTTGGTTAATCGTCGCGCAATTGATAAACGCGATACATCGAAATCAGGTGCTCCGTTCACTCAAAAATTGTATTATCGTTTTTGGCACTTTTTCCCTCTAGCTGCAAATCGGCTGGACCTGTCTTTGCCAAAACCTAATCAGTACATCTCCCTATCAAAAGGAATCGAATGTTTTTTGAACCACTCAAATCGGTTGATCTGTGCGCCCATAACGAAAAAATACGGACCCACAAAACACACACACATCCAATTTTTCTGAGGTGTGCCAAAATGTTCAGAAACCTTTGAAACGTGAAGAATGCAAAAATTTCATTTCAAAACCAAATCAGCACATTTTCCCATCAATAGGATTCGATTTTTCTTTTCATGTCGAATGCTTTTTGAATCCATATATACGCACAAACACATACAAACACTCGCCCACACCACATACATCCATCCATTTTTTCTAAATTATGCCAAAATGTTCAGAAACCACTCAAACGTGAAGATATGCAAACGTATTATCTCCCGATTTTTGGACTATTATAATAACTTACTCTACGGGAAGTTAATAATTATCGTATCTTATAATCGATTAATTTATTATCTTATTTTATATTTTATTAATTAATTTCGATATCTTATAATCGTTAACATATTTTTCCTACGAATTGTCCATACCGCTTTCGTCGTTTCTACTGCGATTCCCTTCATGACTAAGTCTTGGTCTTTTTCTTGCCATGTCGGTACAATTTAATAAAAATAATTAAACCGTAAAATTTAATATTACGACTTCACTTTTAACTGTCTCTCATAGCGAAATCCAAACCTTTTATATGTAATTTATATCTTATCTTAGACATTATCACAACTTGCGTGATGCTTAGAGAACGCACGGGTAATTGTGGATAAATTAATAAAAAAAAATGCATTATAGTGTTAGTTTCAGCAAATTTACGTATATTAGAAGATACGTGTATAATTTTTCGTTAAAGTTTTCATTCACCAAACATTCAGAACCGATTTTGAATATCCAAAATTATTTTAAATATATTATTTAAAAATCGTGTTAATTAGTTTTTAGTAAGGATTTGAGTAATTATTATTCATATTGTGAATAAGGGTGTTCCAATGTGTAATGCTTAAGGTCACGGACTTGTGTGGACGCAGTCGTGTGTTCGAACCGCGCTCTGAACAGCCTGACATCGTGCAGGAGCGATGTCAATTTCCACTTGAGTATATAGATGTAAAAATGTTGCTAATTGATAATAGCACATTTCGGGCACAGTGGTGAGAAATGGAAATGAGAAATCTCTCATACAATTCTTGCTTGAATCGAGTTGGAGTTTAACTCCCTAGGGCAGTACTACTTGTTATTATTTTATTGTGAATAATATGGTAATAATAATTTTGATTAATATATTATATATAAACTAATAATAATTACCCAATAATTATATAAATAATATATAAATAATAGGGTTTGCCGGTTTTCAAAAACCGGTTTTGAAAACCGATTTTTTGGCAAAAATTATGAAATTCAAAAACCATTTTTTTAGCGGTTTTACTGTGAAAATTGAAAATGACAAATATACTAGAATTAGATGGAAGCAAGCGTTTTAATACTTTGAGTCATATCGGTTCGATAAAATTAAGAATCATATCAGTCTGTTATAATTCCCAGAATGGTTCTGTGTTATTTTTTGTCGAATGTATATATTGATTTAGATCAATGCAACTTTTAGGAGTGAACTGCTCTACTAAAACTATAAAACGAGTTTTTAGCTCTAGAAGCTACAAATAAAAGAACAAAAATCTAAAATTATTATATCAAGCTTGAAAAACTATTAAGCCTAGTTCGGTTACAAGTGACATTATTTTTATTTAATTAAAAGTTAAATTTTTTATTTAGAAATGCATTATTTTTATTTATTCGAACTCTTTTCTTTCACTATCATAAAAATATTTATATTCTCATATGTGAAAATGATGCATGAATAACGAATAATCATTTTCAACTTATTTAATCCAGATCAACTATTATTTCTTTGTTCTACTAATTAAAATTAAAACAAATTTGTTTACTATTCATAAAATTGAACGTTGAATAAATTCAGTCAAAAACTGCCGATATATTTTTTTGTTATTACAGAATATTCGAGCATAAAGTGATATTTTATATAAAATTCGAAAAACGGCTAAAACCGGTTTTCTGGGAAATTTAGAGTTCGAAACCGGTTTTCTAAAATGTCAGTTTTTGTATAAACCCTAATAAATACCAATTATTTGTTAGGTTGATGATTTTTATTCATATTTATATAATAAATTATTATTTTAATTATGTTCATGATATTATTAAAAAGGCATTTTTTTAGTAATTCATATATTTGTCTTCTATATTATATTTTATATATAAATTTTTCAAATTGAATCTATTTAGGACAAATTTGCTCTAATTGTAAGTTCAAATAAATGACAATGGAAAATTTCTCAATAAATTTTATATATTTTATGAAGAAAGTATTATGTACTGTATAGATAATATTGTAAAAATATGATCAAAATCTAATTCAATTTTTAATTTATTATCATAAATATTTTTCGATAATTCATGCAGTTGTCAACTAATTAGTCACCGTTTAAAAACTTCTGATTATGTTCTAATTACTTTATATATCTTAACATTTAAAAGATGCATACTCTTATTAAATGTCAAAATAACTAGTGGTGCATGGCATCGTGCCTTAAGGAAAATTGCTAGAACTTCCCGTATCGCAATATACAATTTCTTATGGCTAGAAAGTTAGAAGTTATAATTTGTTCGACCAAATTTTGCAAACATTTGAATATTTTTGATAAAAAGGACAATATTGACTTTTTTAAAAATTCAGATTTTTTTTAATAGAAGTAAAAACAAAATCGGTACTTATTATTAAAATCTCTATAAATTATCTGATAACTGTATGTGCATAAATTTCGTTAAAAAATCCGTTTTACTAATTTTATGTTTTCTTCTTACGTTTCAAGCCATTCTAAACCAAATTTTAACTAGTTGGTTTGGTATTTAGCCTTGAGGCAAGTTACATGAACTTCCCGATATGTGTAAATAATCGACTTAATCAAAAAAAATGTGTAAATAATATACTTCATCAATCCTACTTTAAAAAAAACGATAATAATTTTAGCAAACTTTGACGAATTTGTAAAATTAAACTATTTGTCGTAAGGCCGTAATATTACAGTAAGTTCTATAAGAACATGATGTATATCGCCAAAAAAGTACCATGAAAATCGGCTTAAATTTTTTTTCAACAGTTAAATACAAGAAAATGGCTCGGTAGATTTTCACCTAAAATTAATCAGTATCATTCCCAACTAATATCTTTCGAACAGTTTTTGATTTTTTAAAATCGGTTCGGTAGGATGAGCTTAAATGTCGACAAAAATTTAACACTTTTTTTCAACAGTTAATTACAAGAAAACGGCTCGATAGATTTTCACTTAAAATTAATCAGTATCATTCCCAACTAATATCTTTCGAACAGTTTTTGATTTTTTAAAATCGGTTCGGTAGGATGAGCTTAAATGTCGACAAAAATTTAACACTTTTTTTCAACAGTTAATTACAAGAAAACGGCTCGGTAGATTTTCACCTAAAATTAATCAGTATCATTCCCAATTAATATCTTTCGAACAGTTTTTGATTTTTTAAAATCGGTTCGGTAGGATGAGCTTAAATGTGGACAAAAAGTATTTTCGAATTACAAAGAAACGGCTTGTCAGATCCTTGCACAAAACTGACAAACGATAGTCCTCACCGAAATACATCAAATGGCTTTTAAATTTCTAAAATCGGTTCAGGCGTTTTTGAGAAAACGTCGATCAAAAGTCTAATTTTGACAAATGCCAAAAAGACCATACTGATTTTTGCAAACTTTGACGAATTTTTAAAGCTGAACCAGTTATCGTAGGGCCGTAATATTTTAGTATGATCTAGAAGACTATGGTATCTATCGTCAAAAAAATAATCATAAAAATCGTCGAAATTTTTTTTTTAAAAACTTTATTACAAGAAAACGACCCGGCCGATCTCTACCAAAAACTAATCAGCACGATTCCCAACCAATATCTTTCGAACGGTTTTTGAATTTTCAAAATCGATTCAGAATTGCGGGCTAAAACGTAGACGAAAAATTTTTCACTTTTCTGCCATTTATAAAGAAACGGCTTGGCCGATCGTCGCACAAAACTGACAAACAATAGTTCTCGTCGAGATACATCGAATGGCTTTTAAATTTTTGAAATCTACCCAGCCGTTTTCGAGAAAACGTCGATTTACGGCAAAAAATCTGTTCACATACACACACACACACACACACACACACACCCACACACACATACTTTTTCCAAATTTGATCTCATTCGATTCAGAATGGCTTGAAACGTCGAGAAAACATAAAATTAGCGAATCGGATTTTTTGATGAAAACATAAACTTCTCCTTCGGGAAGTTAAAAATGTATGTGTGTGTTATTCTGAATCGATTCTGAAAATTCAAAAACCTTTCGGAAGATATTGGTTGGAAATCGACCTGATTAGGTTTTGGTAAAGTTTCGCTAACTCAATATCTTGTAATCTTCTTATGAATTTTTGTATGGCGATAGATATCATGGTCTTCTAGAAATATTACGGCTTTACAAGTCGTTTAATTTAAAAAAATCACCAAAAATTGAACAAAATATAGTAGCATTTTGTGACGTATATTAAAATTAGAACTTTCTCGACGTTTTCTCAGAAACGGTTAAGTCGTATTCAAAAATTTAAGAACCATTCGATGAAACTTGATAAGCACTCGCGTTGGTTAGATTTTTTATACAATCGGCTGAGACGTTTCTTTGTAATTAGCACAAAAATGAGAGATCGATTTTAAAAATGAGAGAGAAATCGATTTTAAAAATTCAAATCTATTCGAAAGATATTATTTGGTAGTAGTCCATATATGTTTTGGACAAAGGTCGGCCGAGCCTTTTCTTCGTAATTGACTGTCAATTTTTTTTTTAGATTAAAATTTAACGCCCTACGGCAAGTAGTTTAATTTTTAAAATTTATCATATTTTGAAACAATAGTCAGAACTTGTGTCAAAAGTTTCTTTTGTGACATGATGAGTCAAATATTGTCAATTCATTAAAATTTCGAAAAATAAGCTAAAATTTTATGACATACAAGTGCAATATAACTAAATTAATTACAGATAATTTTTTAGAAGTGATTGAGAGATATCAATAAGAAATCGTAATGTTAAGATTCAATTGAAAGCGAAAACTTTAATATAGAAATATACAGTTGAAAATTTAATCTAAATATCTAAATCTCAATTTCGGTTGATCAAGTCAATTATTACACATTTCTGGAAGTTCGTGCAACTTGCCTTAAGGCAAAATGCCACTTTCAACTAGTTTTTAATATATTAGAGTTATCGGAAAATTATTATTGATAACTTAGAAGGATATTTTTGAAAAGCAAAATGTAAACACAAAATAGTGAAAAAGAGTAAGGATTTGCGTTTGCTTATAGCACTAACATAATATAATATATTTTTTTGAGAATATATATTTTTATTGTTTTTTTTTGATAATGACAGAATAATGAAACCTCATGACCATCAATAATCTATAATTTGTTTTCGAACGTTTTTTTCTAATATTAAACATAAATACTTAAGCATAAATTTAGTCTTTCAAATAACTATTCTAATATGCAAGAACGTTCCGAGTTATTACTTAGGTTTATTATGCATTCAAGTATT